GTACACCACAGTAGGGGCTTTCACATATTATGAACAGACTCACATAAAGAAATACAATTTTCTTCATGAATTGGCACCCACATAGCATACTCAAATGTAACTGAAACATACGTTTCACAAAATAGTGTACGCACCACATGCTCTGGTGTTTTCTAGTCTTTTAAAACAAAATGTCTGGTCCTCAGGATCCACTTCGGAGTCCTGACTTTGAAAAGAGCTGCAGCAAGGGGCACAGTGGTTGAGGGAGCTGCCGGGAGGTGTAACAATGGCATTCAAATGGGTTCATGCACTTACAGTTGTGTGCCTGGGTCAGTCAACCTTTGGATCTTAAAAAAAAAAAATTAATTAACCCTTCTAAACCTTAAGGTCCCCCATTGTAAAATGGGCCTAAGCTACTTCATAGGATTTTTTTGAAACGAGACAGTAAGCACCCATAATTGCTTTCAGAACCCCCCCTGAGGTTTCCACAATTGTTCAGTCCAGTACCCCCAGAATAGCAACTGTTCCACACATGTGTAAAGATTCCCCAGCTGCAAGCTCCCATTCCCCTCACCTGTGTGTGCAGTAGAATAAAGCGCAGCCTCTGAAGGTGGCGCCTAAAGCCAGGGTCCAGCCTGAGCCACACCTCATCTTCGGCAGGCCCTCAGATTCCTTAGGAGGCTAGTCCCTAAACCCAGTATCCCTTCATGCCCAACAATGTCCTCTGCTGTGTCTTTGTCTTGGGTCCTGCTGTCTTCTCCTCCTGATATGGCTTTCCCTCTTTTATTTTTGCTTAAACAGCACCCACAAAGGCCTTAAGACCAAGCCCAAGAGTTGTTGTCTGTGGATACTGGCTGTCCCGGAGACGGCTCTTCTCCCCTTTCTCCAAAATCCTGTGCTAACGTTTAGTGAAGAAAAAAGAGACAACCGCATGCAAGTGTTGGCACCTCTGGAGGACAGAGATTGTACGGCTCCAGAATGATCGTAATGTATGTACCCTTGGGCACGGACTGGGGCTCAGTCACACCCCTGCAACTTGGCTCAGTGTTTTTCAGACATACATTGAGTCTCAGATGCTTGTGTGTCTCTGTTTTATTTTTAGTTTCAGAAAATGTAGTGCTGAGTCTAAGCGACTGTAATGGGAGAACAATGAACATAAATTTAATTTTCTAGCAACCAAACACAAAATTAAATGTATGAATTACAGCTGTTGAGGGAGCTGTTTGTCTTATGACCTTCCTGGTGGATCCATTCCAGATGCATTGTCAGTGAGAGGAGGCAGGACAGCGTGTTAGAGTTTGTATGGAACAGATGGGTCAGCTCAGCTTTCTGGCAGTTGCTCTGCCATCCCTGGCCCTGCATGGCAATTGTGAAACTCTGAAGGAGCCAGATGTCAGGCCCTCCTTCCATTTTGCTTCAGGATGTTTCTAGTTGACTTAGAGAGAAAGGGGAAGGGCTGAAGGTGTGGCCAAGAGGTGGGGTGGGGAGGGGGTTGCTGGACCACCTCTATCTTCATTCCTCCAACAGAAAACTGGAGGGGAAGGGTTCTGTTGGGTGCTCCTGACCGACCCTGGGGGAGGTGGCCTCTCTTTGGAAATTCGACTGTGTTGCCATCCCTGGAACCAGGACGAGTGCTCCAGAGTCCTAGTGGTCATCCTATCAAGGCTGGAATTCAACTCTGCCTGAGCCTGCTCACCCACCCCCACAGTTCCCTGCATCTCTGAGCATCCTAGACAGAAGGAATGAAACAGTTTGGCTCAGATTAGAATGCAAAGATAGGCTTGGGATCTGGGTCACTGATTAGCTTATTTTAAGCTCCACATCGTGTCCAGTAACCCTTCCTGTATCCTCTCTTTCTCAGTCAGCCTTACACTCATTCTCAAGTCCCTGGCAATTAAAAAGTTTTGGCACCTTTACTCACTAAATTTTCACCCCTTCCTTACATAACAACTGCCCATGGCTGCAGCATCAGCCCTTACAGTACCACCTGATGCTGTTTAACTGATACTGCTCCTACTCAGGTGTCCCCTAAACCAGTGTGCCACCACACAGTGCCACAGGGGGTGCTGTAAAATGCAACGAGGCCCTTTCACTTGTGACATTCTTCAAGAACTCCATAACACAGCAGGGACAGTTCTGAGCTCCCTAGTGTGGCACACGACACCTTTCATGTGCTGGCTGTACAACGCCTGCAGGCCCACTATCTGCACTTCCCCTGTTCCAGCTGCTTGTGGCTTCCCCGAACTCCCAGCCTTGGTCTGTGCTCTGAGATTTCCTCAGGGCAACGCCTTCCACCAGCTTGCAGGTGTGCCCTGTTTTTCCAGTGTGTTTTTTTCAGATGTACTTTCTTCCATGAAACCTCTCCCCTCCTCCAACTACTCTTGGCCAATAGCTCCTCCTTTGTATTTATCTAGAACACTCTTCTTATTTCTAGCATGATATTTACCTCTTCAATGAACTCCTTCGGATAGAGTACCTGTATAGTGGGAATCCACATTTATTAAAATTACTAAATAGATTTTAAAAATAAAAATTTTCAGGTAACATTGGTGTATACTAAATTGATTTTAATCTTCTAGCCCACCTTCCAGCATCAGGGTCTTTGCATAATTAGTTTTGTCTGGAATAATTTTCTCCTCAAATCTTCCTTTGTTCTTTTTTTAAAAAAAAATTTATGTAGTTATTTTTAGACAGAGAAAGGGAGGGAGAAACAGTGAGAAACATCAGATATATCGATAGGTTGCCTCTCGCATACTCCCAGCTGGGAACCTGGCCCACGAGTCAGCCCGCAGTCCACTGAGCCACACCAGCCAGGGCTCCCCCTTGTCGCCTGCACAACATCTTATAATTTCAAATTATTTATGAAGGTGCTTTGGCTAGTGGCAAACAACCCAGGTACTGACATCAGAGTGCCTAATTTCAAAATACAAAATGGGTGACCTTACACTATTTTCACGCTCTGTTGTGTCTGTGCTTCAGTTCCCTGTTTGTAAAATGGGACAGACAAACCTCTGAGGAGTAAGTTAAATCACATGCCATGTGCTGAACAGACTGTGCCTGGCATGGAGCTAACACCTATTGTGCTCTACTTAAAAATATGTATATTTTATACATATTTTACATGTATTTTACATGTATTTTATACATATTTTATACATATTTATACATAAATATGTATGTATATTTTTAAGTTACTGAATGCTATTTAACTGGAAACTCCAAAAAGCTTGGCCTCTGATATCTTTTTTCATTTTATTAAAATTTTTTATTTATTGATTTGAGAGAGAAGGAGGGGAAGAGGGAGAGAAAGAGAAACACCAATTTGTTGTTCCTCCTACTGATGCATTCATTGGTTGTTTCTCATATGTGCCCCGACGGGAGCAAACCCACAACCCTGGCAGATTAGGATGATGCTCTAATCAGATGAGCCACCTGCAGGCACTGATGTCTTCTTTACCCTTGAATCCCAGTGCCGAGCGTGGCATGCCAGTAAGTGCAAACTGAGTTTGCATGATCTAAATAAGTGAATAAAGGTCTACAGCCATGCCACCCTGAACACGCCCGATCTCCTCTGAATGAGTGAATAAAGGACACTCCTTGCTTCAGAATATTAACTGAAGATAAGGAGGAGTTGTGACTGCTTATCAGGGCGCTATCAGAAGCCGTATCAGTGGCCTTCTCAAATCAATGATTAACTTCCTAACCCTTATGTTCACTAGGCTACAAGACCAACCTACTCTTTTTTTTCCTTTAGTCCATATGAAAACATTTGGGTGAAAGTTACATGAATGGAGTTGTTCTCAGGTTTTTATTAGAGGAAATTGTGCTCCTATTTACTTCATTCAGAACCGGGACTGACGAGGATGTTGTTAGAACAAGCCTGCTCAGGTTAAGGTGACCTTGCTCTGCAGAGAACAGAGAGTCAGGGCGATGCACTTGAGGACGAGCTGAGAGGCAGTTATCAAAATCACAGGGTGATGGAAGCAGCTTTTTAAGCAGGTGAAACTCCAACAGGGGCTTTGTAATTTATTTTTAGTGAGATCTTAGCCTCTGTCCATAAAACCCATCTTATGAAATTAGTGGTATAGACATTGGAAAGGAAAGGACACCTTTTTACTTTTTAGTAGGGAAAGAAGTAAAGTTCTGTAGAAGAAGGAAAGTCTAAGGTGAGCCTTCCTAGGTTATAGATATTTTTAAAAAAGCACAAAAGTTTCATCAAAAGAATTAAAAAAAAAAGTCAGTGGGTAAAGGGGGTGAGAATGCTTATGCTAGAAAACCTGGGTCAAGGAAACAGACAGCAGCTGAAAGAGCCAAGGCAGAAAGGATCCTAACAGTAGGTCACTTAGTTCCCATTCTCTATGAAGACCAGCTGGGAGACTGGCAGGAACAGAGTGTTACAAGTTCTGTTCACACTGCCGAAGTCGGTCAGGACCAGTGGACCCTCATGGTGGCCCTGTGCAACCTGCACCCTAAAGCCAGGGCCAGCCCTTCATTTCCAACTTCAGAATTAGTGTCAGTTCTTCTGCTGGCCAGCTCAGTATGTGTTAAACACTTTTATTCACGTCCTGTACTTGCTCCTCTGTACCATACATTTACCATATTACACCATCTTAGATCTCGGAAGTCACAACTCTGTGCAAGGCTGCAGCACAGGCAGGTGGTTGTGGTTTCAGAGCACGAGCAGAAGGAGGAGCAGGCTTCCTGCCAGAGGTAAAGGGCTGGCCCCTAGACTACAGCAGCAAGCAACTGCAGTGTAGTCCCCTTAGAAAAGACCTCTGTAGTGCAGAGTCCCTCTTTGGGCAAATGACAGGTGGCTTTCCAGTAGGTCTTGTTTCCCCAAAGGACACAGAATCTCTTGTCCTGACAACCCAAATACCCTTTCTGTGTACAGTTTTGTGTCTAGCGTCTTTAACAGCAATGAAAAAGGTGATTCTAGCCCTTTCTGACTCAATGAGAAAGACTGGAGCTGAGGGAAGGCCAAGGAAGGAGGCGGGGAGGGGCTCTAGCAGGCATATACTTACCACCTTTTGGTTCCCTTCATTATCTGTGAGCAGCCACTCGATGTCCAGGGTGTCTTTTTCTGGAAGCCCCAACTGATGATGACAGGGCAAAGTGACCTTCTCCTCTGCCACTCTCCTGATCTCTGTGTGAGTCCCCGAGGTTCCAACATAGTAGGACACTGAAAAAGGGAAACCTTTCATGAGTACTGCAGAAACTTCGAGGCAGTGCGTGGAAGCAAATATTACACCGGATTGTTATTGAGTGTTCTTGTGGGTCGGGGCCAAGTCCAGGTATTGGAAGAGCCCTAGATCAGAAGTGCTAGAAGTCCCAGGATCTCACACCACGGGCTCCTGCATTAATTGAATTCATCATAGTCCTTAACTGCGTGCGCCCCCGCCCCTGAATTACACTCCTACCAGTGTCTGTCTTTCCTGCCTTAGAGGGGTTTTTATGAATAATGAAATCACTCAGGTCAACAGCAACTTGTCTTTTGATCTTTCTCTCCCCTACTAGCAGAGGCTTCCAATAGGACAGAAACCAAAGGGGAAGGTGGAGGTTAGCATCCTCCCTCGACAGGCTCCGGGCACAGCTTTACTCTCTTAGAGAACCTTACCCTCCCTAGCCTCCCAGGAAAGCCTCAGGTAATAGGCGGGCTCTTGAGGGCAGGTCCTGATTCCTCTAGGAACACACATTCTCTCATGCCCCAACCTACCTTCATTCTGTATAGTTTCATATCCTACGGTTTCAACCGTTTCTATCCAAAGTGAAATTCTGAGTTACCACATTTGGAATCTGTCCCTCCGTGGATCTGATATCCATTTAGCCAACGGGAATTCATTTCCACTTTCTGCTTTCTTTCCCCGGAACCTTCATCTTCTCCTAGGGATGGTATCCTGTCGGCAACTTTGGACTCCAAGTTCACCTTCTCTCCTTTCTATTAATCTCTCTCTTAGTACCTGGCCAAGGCTCTGACACTGTTGACTATTAAGTCTACAGTATTGATGACTGATGAGTTGGTATAATAAAACCCCACCTAGATTCTAGGTATGATGTGTCTGGCATTCAAGGTGTGCTTTATCTTTGGATCTTCTTTTATGTACTTACACAGTGATAAATAAAGAAGCACAGTGTGAAAAATGATTTCCTTTAAGCCATTCACAATACAACAATATTATACAATCTCCAAGTTAAAAGAGCCCCAAGGGCCGGGCTTGTGTTGTTGGGAACTGCCCTGCCTGGTTTCAGAAGCTGTAACCACCCCATGGCTAAGGCTGAGTGAGAGACCTTCAGACCATAAGCCACTAAAAAAACAAAGCTTATCTTCCTGGCAAGGGCACCCCCTCTGCCCCTTTTACTTCACCCTGCCTGGCCCCCAATGCTTGATCGGTTAGCCAGTGATGGGTAAGATTCCTCAAGGGAGGGACGACCTAAGACAGGTATGATTACAGAGGCCCCTAGGGAAGGACTTGGGGGCTATAGCAAAAGGGGGTGATGGACCCTCACCCTTCAGCTTTGACATAGCCTGAGTCCTCATTCTGTCCGTGAGAAGTCTCCTAATCTCTTGGCTGCCTTACTTCCCCTGCCTGACTTAAGCCTGAAACAATGACAGAGGGCAGTGCAGCCCTGTGCTGGAAAGGGCGGGTTCCCTGGGTGATCAGGCCTAAGAAAGAATACATAAAATCCTATGAAACCTGCTTTGCTAAGAATGCTCTCCATTAAATGATAAGGGTCCAAGCAGGAAATGAGTTTGTTTCCCAAAGTTTTGTAGCCCTTTAGCTAACAGACCCTGACTCAGAATAAGCCCTCACAGTTCTTTGTATGCTATCTATTGTTTGATCCTTACTGCCTGACAATGATTAATGAGGTTTACCTGTATTCCTGTGCAAAATAAACCCAATAAAAGCCCATTGAGGAAAAGGCTCTTGGCCCTTCTCCTTTGAGAGATCAGCCACCTCTCCTCCCCAAGAAGATCATGTCTTGGTAGACTTATTCTCATCTGTGGTGGCTGGGGATGGCCGGGGGCTGGGGGTGGGGGCGGTGTGGGTGGAGCCCTCCCACATTGTACAAAGTCCTTTCTCATAGAACAAAACCACTCTGCCACCTTAGAAGGGTTTTAAGACCAAAGGCCAAGGATCACGACTAACAGAAACACAGAGGCTATTTCTTATTCCCTGCTCATTCCCCAGAATTGATTAGCAGCAAATCTGTAGGGAGGAGGAGGGCCTGTATCTTGCCTGCAGAAAAATGAAATGAGGAAGAAGGGAGCAGGGGCCTGTGTTTCTCTCTGCAGGGCTGATGTGGTCAGAGCCCTGAGTGGCCTCCACCCTAAGAGCAAGAGTGGGTGGGGGGCAGGGCCGGCGGGTCCCAAACTCCGTGGTGAAGAATGCAGCCCATGGAAGGAGCATAGGAAGGAGCCTTCAGAACCAATAGGAGAAGTCCCTTGTAGGGTCTCACTGACATTCTCAGCAAGGCTTCTGCTGTTTCTGTTTAGCACTTGACTCTGCAGTGGGTGTGGCCTCCATTTAGTGAGCACTGCCTGTGGGTCAGCTCTAGAATGAGCACTCAGATCTACAAAGAAAGGGTTACTCTCCAAATCTGCTGAGGGAGTTAGCAACTTGCCCAAAATCACAGACTGGCAAGTAACAGAGCAGGGCCTGCCCACACCTGCGTCACCGCACAGCTCAGGCTCCGACATCACTCATGCCCGGTGCTTCATGTGGCTTCCTGGAGGCCTGGCTCTCCCATCAGACATAAGCTCCTGGAAATTAAGTGCGGTCCACCACTGCACCGCCATAGCACCGGGCCCTGGTCTCACACACTGCAGGGACTCAATAAATATTTGCTGCATTGATTTGAATTGAAGCCATGCACAATGCACAAACTGAGCCCTGGGGGTAAAGGAGTCACCCAACACCCTACAGCTCATTTAGCGGTAGAAATAAGCCACATAAAACCCACCCTCCCTCAGTCCCCATAAAGCAGCTATACAGCAGCAGGAAATTGGCCAGCCTGCACTGTACTAAGCTAAGCTTGTGAGGGGGAGCTCTGACTTCTGTCCCTGATCACTTTCCACAAGACACAACAATGCTCAAATGAAGAACCCAGCACCACTTTAGTGCAGACTGTAGGCACTTCCTATACATTGAATAAATAAATGCAAAAATCAGCTATGAAAGTGCTGATTGGAGCCACTAGAGGGAATCAAAGGCTTAGGTTTGGTTGATGTCCCAACAGGAAAGAAGCACAGTGGTGAGTGATGTGCTTTGCCAGAGCCAGGTTCTATTTATACCATACCTAGAATTAAGTCAGTCAGTGCAGGGAGGGCACCACTCGGCAAATACAAATGACTTCATCAGATAGGGAGCCTCAGGGTCAGCGCATGCATCTCTAGTCTCCCCTGAGTTTCAGCTCCCCAGTATCGAGGAGGCTACTGGGATCCCAGCAGATTTCTGAGGTCCTTCTCTCCTTTTTTAGCCCATAGCCCTGTTCCATAGCCTACGTGGATAAGGTCCTGGACTCTGCATGTAACCAGGTTTGGCAATGCCAGTAGGGGCTCCCGAGCATAGGTGTGCTGCCTGGCAGGGGAATGGAAAGGGGCCATCTGAACACCCAGTGGCCAGCCTGGGGTTCCCTAGGCATTCAAGTACTCATCATTGTTAGTACTCCTCCTATTCAATTTAGGAGGAAACTACAGCCTGAAGAATTGAAATGTCAAGGCACAAAAATCCAGTTAGTGGCAGAACCCCAAGTCAGGGAATAATCCAGCTGGGAGTCTGGCACTCCTGTGGCACTGCCGGGGTGGGGGAGGGGGTGCTGGGGGCTGGCAGTGTGCTTGTCCGTGTTCATGCACACCAGGTGGTCACGTCTCGGGGGCTGTGGGCTCTCCCTCCGGGGAGACCTCTGCATGCAGCTCAGGCACTGCATGAGGACCGGGGAGAGCTTGGGAGAAGTGCCCTTGTGGAGCCCAGTGCTCTCACCTGCAAAGCAGGAATTCAACAAAAGACCAGGGTAAAGCGCGGAGGCATCTCTGTGAAAATGCTCTCCTCCCCTAGAAGGGCTTTTCCTCGGCTTAGTGGCGCCTGCAGCCAGTTCAGATTAATTTAAGGTTTTATTCTCTAAGGGGCATTAACGTTTATTAAAGATCTCTTGAACCTTCAAGACCTCTTCAAGGAGATGGGAGCAGAAGTAACTGTTTTGTTTTGTTTTTTCAACATGAATACTTTTATATAAAACTGAGCCACATATTCTGAAGATGAATCCACACAGAAGATAATAGTAAATTATTAAAAGGCAATTTCTATCACGAGTTGACGCTTTCATTCACATTAAAACACTCATTAGTGAAGTCTCTTTAAAACTATTCTGTACGAGCCGGCATTGCTTTTGTGGTCAGGTTCATGTCTTGGATGACCCTTTTAAGGAAGTTCACTTGGTCCAACCTAATGAAGCCCGTAGCCTTCACACACCGGCGGAAGCTGTCTCCGTCACAGATCCAGGCCGCATTTCTGCGCCAAACCACGTGGGCCGAGCAGCAGTGAGAACACTGGCCAGACTTCCTTCGATAGCTCCCCACGGAGCCACCGGTGACTCATCTTGCTTTAGAAAAAGGCCGGGGGTAACTTTTAGCAGAAACTAGGATGCTGCACCTAAAATATCTGTTTCTCTCTCATCTCCCTAATGGAGAATTATTCTGCTTCTCAAACATGGGCTGAGTGCCCGCAGGGCATGTGTGCCAGGGATCTCGAAGTTCAGTCTGTGTGCGGACTCTGCCGAGAATGGGCCTCCAGGGCCATTGTCAGCACAGGCTCCTGGCAGTCCCCAGGGTCCCACCTAGGAGAGGCCATAGTGCTCGGTGCACAGGTAAGAAGCAGGTGGTTCTTTTTCAGAACTGAGTTCTCCTTTACCAGGCTGTGTAGACAGGCAGTTTATGAATAATAAAGTTAGAGAGCCATAGTAGCTGCTATTCCTTGTCGGGGCAGGAGATGTGCTATGCACCCTAACCCACAGCAGGGCTCCCGTATCCTGGGGGACACAGTCCTGCCGGCACCTCCTCCACTCACTCGGTGGTCGCACTTCTCTGAACGGACCGTTCACTTACCCTGGGGGAGTGGGAAGATAATTTTCTTGTATTTTACTTTACATGGAGTATTTGAGAAAGTCTCAATCACCAAAGTCATC